ATTTCCGTCGTGCTTTGATAGACGTAGCATAACGACCACGACGGTCGCAAGTGACCGCCGGGGCTGTGAACGGCACGGCAACGACCGGCCGGCTGGCGGCTACGCCAGCGCCATCTATGGAGAGAATCGGGTAACTAACGCAAACCTTCCGAGCCTTATGCTTTCCTGCGAGGCCGGTGAAGCAGGCGGCGTGCCGATTTCGACGCCGCTGTAGGCCGAATCGACTGGTACATGCATTTAGCGATACATTGTTAATATTTTTCCTTACATTCATCATATTATTCAAAAACATGCAAAAATTGAGAAAACCGGAAATAATCAAAGAGCCGGGGCGATAAAAAAAAAAATCGAATTTTATATTTTTCCGCCGGATTCGTGATCAGCACCCCCAAATACATTAGATTAGACCTGGGGAGCAAAACTTTTCGAAACTTTTTGCAAAACCGGTCACCCTATTGAGAAAGCCAAAATGGGGTCCCTGGCTCACAATTACCGGTTTCGGCACTCACAACATCGAGAAATGCCTTAAATCGGAAATATTGAATTTCAAAATTGCAGCATTTTGATTCAGAGGGGCTAATGCATAGGAATACCCCTCTGAATGTGTGACGTCAGCGCAGATATCTAACGATTTTTAAATGTTTGACTAAAACGTTTTGTAGCACGCGGTGGTATATGCTGCTTTGCGCGCAACAAGTGCCGCACTTTCAGCTGCCAAACTATTGCTTCCGCTAGGAACAGCGGTGATCCCAAAAAGTAAACAAAAGTAAAAGTCTAATATCTTGAAAACCGGTGAATATTTTTCGGTGAAATTTGGTAGATATTCGTTTTCGCTCTTTCTGAACCGAGCGACATCACTTTCATGCCAATTCATAAACTTTTTTGAAGGTGGGAGGGTCCCTTTAAGGTTTGATTTGTCCTTCGACGAAATCTGACAGGGTCCAACTCATAGTTGAAAGAACTTGAAGGACCATCAGCACAAGCAGAAGTGACACAATTATACTAACAACACGCCGTGTAAACGATAGGGTTGCATTGTCTAGAAAATAGAGGAACAACTTACACATTCACGAAATCAGTGACACCATCTTTCATCTGATCCCAGCAACTATCGACCGATTTCCATTTTACCTGTAGTTGCTAAACTGTGTGAACGAGTGATATGTACCCAGCTGATGACGTATCTATCGAGTCATTGCATTTTGTGCCCGCAGCAGTATGGTTTCCGTCCCGGTCTGTCCACGGAGGCGGCTGTGCTGGACGCTGTCACATACGCCACTGAGAACATCGACCGAGGACAAGTGACGTCACTAGTAACAGCAGACACGTCGAAGGCGTTTGACAGCGTCGAGCACGGCCGTCTCCTGGACAAGCTGGGCTGGTATGGTATCCAACCTGACTGGTTTGCTGACTGGCTTCAGGGGCGGACTCAGGTCATCAGAGGGGGGTCGACACGTGCCTATGACGTCACGCATGGTGTGATCCAGGGATCCATTTTGGGACCTGTTCTATTTTTACTTTTTACGAACGACCTGACCGCACACATGCCCTACGGCAAAGTGATTTTGTACGCAGATGACGCCCAATTCCTGGACACAGAACTGCCTTCAAACAGTGACATTCTTAAAAATCGAGTCGAACGTAACCTCTCCAATGCATTTAAGTGGTTCACTCAGAACAGACTGAGGATAAATCCATCCAAAACGGAAATGGTTATTATTAAATCGAAGCGGAAAATCTTTGAGGAAAATTTCTCAGTTAAATTTGGAACAGATACGATTCTCCCAGCTCAAAGTGTCAAGGTTCTGGGCGTCATCATTGATCGGCATCTGACGTGGGAAAAACATGTATCAGCAGCTGTGCAGCGCTGCTACGCTGTGTTGATAGGCCTGGCCAGGATGCGTCACCGACTACCAGAGGATACCAAGCGCCTGCTCGTTGAAGCGCTAGTCCTTCCACATGTGCGCTATTGTATCAGTGTTTGGGGTAGCTGCACGGTAGAGCAGAAGAAGCGGACCCAGAAGGCTGTGAACTTCGGTGCTAGGATTGTAACTGGACTGGGCCGCCGCGAACATGTTACACCGGTGCTGCAGCAGCTCGGATGGGGAAAGCTGGATGATATGCTGAAGGATCATGATATCTCGATTGTAAAACGACTACTCACTGCGTCAGACGCATCGGAGATCCTGAGAGCGAAGCTCGTGCATCGCTCTGAGATATCCGGCCAGAGTACCCGAGCAGCAGCGAGTGGCCAGCTGCAGTTGCCACGCGTCAAAACAGAGATGGCGCGACGCAGTTTTCTTTTTAGAGCAGTTGCTGCATGGAACAGTGTTCTGAAGTGATAGGTCTGTCCTCGTGCCTTTTATTTTTTATCTTTATAGTATATACCTACATGTATGTGTTACGGGTCATATGCTAACTTGGGCAGTATGCAAACTACCCGGGCAGTATGCAAACTACCCAACAGCCCGGGCAGTATGCATACCGCCCGGGCAGTATGCATACTACCCGACCCCTTGGGCAGTATGCATACCGCCCGGGAAGTTTGCATACTGCCCGGGTAGTATGCATACTACCCACCTTTCAGCTCACGGGCAAGATGTTTACTCGGGCAATATGCTGACCGTGGCTCGTGAGACTATTTAATGCGATAGCTCACATATACATGTCAATGACGATGCTTTAACCCGCGCTGGGGCGGTGCTCGGCGCCAGCTGTGCCGGGCTGGGGGGGGGGGATTAAGCACTCCTGTTCGGCTCCTGTGCCTGGTGCCACTTAGCGGCACAGGAGTAAGCGGCATGTAAGATGCGGTAACCGGCATTCGAAATAGCGTAAAAAATCATGACGAAATTACTCTAGTCATTTTTTAGGTCAGAGGCCAGTTTTACCAACAGAAAAATAGCCGCCTGCTGGAATTTTTCGCCTCAAGACGGCTTTACATACGGAGCGTTAACGGTAAAGCCCTATCCGCTTATGTGCCCATCGCGTTTACGTTCCGTATGTGAAGCGGTCTTTAGGCAAAACATTCCGGCAGACGGCTATTTTTCTGTTGGTAAACTGGCTTCTGAGCTGGTAACCTGACTATTACAATTTGTAACATCTTACATGTAAATGGTGTCATGCAACATTAGCTATTGAAACTATAATAACGCCCTCTACAGATCCAGGTGCCAAACCAAAGGTATAGAGTGATGACACTATAGATCTGTCGTCATTTCAGATGAAAATGACTTGTTGGCCGCTGGCTTATTAACAATGAAATTCTGGGAAAATAATTTAAAGTCTTTATATTCCAATCCTTACTCCACTCTTCAATCGATAAATCACGTTTGACGGCAAAAAGACTTCGCGGTTGAACTATGTACGTTACTTAGGTAGTCATGGATATTTTGAAAATGGACATGGAATACACAACTTCAATACAAGAAGCGGGCAGTATGCAAACTGCCCAAGCTTTTGGGCGGTATGCATACTGCCCAAGGGGTCGGGTAGTATGCATACTACCCGGGTGGTATGCATACTGCCCGGGCTGTTGGGTAGTTTGCATACTGCCCGGGTAGTTTGCATACTGCCCAAGTTAGCATATGACCCGTAACATATGCATTTTAATGGTTCTTATTTTCTTTAAGGATTTCTATCTATTTTGTAGCCATTTACATATTTTACCATCAGCTTGTATGCTGATGTCATGCACCTATTTCATTGCCTTCTACCGGGTGGCCCAGAAAAAACGTTCCGAACTTTGGAGGCCTATATATCAAATTCGAATGCAAATAACGAGACAAAATTTTCAGCAAGTTTGCGTCATTTCTTTGCGCATTGGTATGCTAAATTATAACACTATACCATCATTTTCAAGCTGGCAATCTTGAGTTGAATTAAGCAAGACGTTTTTGCTTTTTTTGCCGATGTCAAACGATAGTGATGATTGGGTTAGACGCCCCATGTTATAAAAAAGAATAGAAAAATAGAGCATGTGAATGAAACCAACACGTATGTTCTTATTTTAAATATTTGTGTCTCACTTATGTGCCAAATATTCAAATACTGAGCCAAAATGGTGCTCATGGATGCCATTCGTTTTAACACCAAATCATGATTCGTGGCACGGTGCATGGATTACTGCTGATTACCCTCCTTTCAGTAGATCAAATTGTAAGTCGACCGGATAAGGAAAACAAACTAAAACAGACTAGTTCCTGTGCCAGAAGACCACATAACATTTTATGAAAAACAACATTGCCAGCAGATGACAAAAAAGAAAACTGGTTGAAAAGCTACCTTTTCCCAGGAATGTCAGCCAGGAAAGCATTTGAGGCACAAGATGGTTAGAAAACTGGAAACTTCTTCCGATGCCACTGGCACAGAGCCATCGTGGTTGCCTGATGGAATGTGTCATCGTGAGACCCGAACCATCAATGAGACTAGCTGCCAGTAGCAGCCATGGCTCTAGGCCGTGGTGCCGAGGGGTGAAAGTGACCTGTTCACTCACATTTTTGAGTAAACATCGGAGCAAAAAAGTAATTTTTACATGGCATGCTTGAAACATGAACCGTTTAAAAAGTAATTTACCGAACACCATGAAAATCACACCATTTACTGAAAATGTGTGCCGCATTGACTATTCGAAGTTTCAATGTTGTATCTTTATCACTTTCTGAGAAATATTGATTTAAAGTTGGGAACGTTTTTTCTGGGCCACCCGGTATATTTCCACTTTTATAGGGTGTTCATTTTTAGAGTAGCCACAGTTTAGCACGACTGTGCAATTTTAACATTGTATGTTTGATAGATAGGTGTCTGGCGTTGGTTTGTCTGTGCAATGTCTGTCAAAAGTGTTTTGCATTTATGTATTGACGTGGATACCATAAAATCCACTTTGTGGAGGATCCTAATACATTATCTATCTATCTATCTATCTATCTATCTATCTATCTCTCATTTGCAGAACATCAGCTATCACCGTCATGTGGTTGAACGTATTACAAGTAAGCCATCTCACAATCATTGTTGTTACCACTTTATTCTAATCTCAGACGAACAGCGGTGTTCAGTGGTCACAGCAACAAATTCACCGTCAAATTACAGCAAACAAGCGTTTCCTGTGAGAAATGAGAACAGTACACACACATTACACCGTGAAATGAGATGAAGGACTGTTGACTAGCTACCGCCCATGTACACACAACAACAATCACACATTCACTAATACTGTTTGACTAGATGACACTAAAACTGTTCATGAGCCATAGTGGAGCGGTATGATTCAAAGATCGATCACTTTTAAATCAAATCCAAGTGAGCAATGAAAAACAAATGGCGACATACAGTAACATCCACGCAGGGTACACATCAACTTTACACACCCGCTCATGGCGAACAGTGTTGATGATGCGCTTATGACTGCAACTCACAAATGGTTCTGAGTAACTCATGAGGCAATTGAGATAAAACGCGCGCAACACCCCTAAAAGAGTATTTGTGTTTTACATAAATCACGTTTGTGGATGCTTCATTTCTTCACATGGGTAAGATTCGGTACACAGTCATCCTTCCATTAGTCACCTCACAATGCACGGACCCCTTTTCATATAATGAGCGTACGTACCATCCCACTCTTTCACAAACCACTGTCACATCTCCTCCTTTTCACCCCATGAACGATGAAGCCTCGATCGGCTAGCACTGACCTGACCTGACCTGACCTGCCCTCTGGGTCACACGGAGGTGGTCATCTCATCGATCGTGCCCATGTCCGCGTAGTTGCTCCTCTGCGATCCGTTTCGGAGGATGGAGGGCCTCTGCACGGGCTGCGGAGGGGGCGGCTGCGGGGGCGGCGGCCGAAACTCGGGCATATCACCGAGTCGACTCCGCAGCTCCGGCTCGCTCAGACTGACGGTGGCAGCCATCCGGAGCGGCCGGTGCAGAAACAGCTCGGCGTTCCTGCCCATGGAGCGCTCCGTCTGCAGCAGGAAGTTCTCCACCTTGTCGCAGCTGGTGATGCAGTCGCCCGGGAAGAAGTAGCTGTAGTTCTCCAGCTGATCCAACAAACCCTCCTCGGAGATACACGTCAGCCCGTCGGGACCTCGCTCTAGCAGCTTATCGTCCAGCACATCCACAGAGTTCGCGAAGGAGATGGATTTTCCGATGCGCTGCAGTGGCGGCGCCCGTTGGAACGCTCCGGCGCTGTGTGCACTGCCCTCTTCTGGCGGGATGGCGCACGTGCAGACACCCTGGTGAGCGGCCCCCGCACCTCCACCGCTGCTTTCGTGCTCCGCCGACAGGTGGCACTCCCCGTGGCCCGAGGACAGTTGGCTGTCGACGGTCGTGTAGGAGAGCGTCGTGTCCATCTTCTTTAGCCTCTTGCGGTAGAAGTTCATCATGAAGAAGACGCAGGCGGACAGCAGCACCATGACGCTGGAGAAGTAGTAGCCGGCCTTTGGAGAGCTCCGGTTAATGTAACCTGACGAGGAGAGAGGCGTTAGCAATTAGCTGGCTGTATGATCCTCACGAAGTCCCACTATTTAGTCACAGGGAACCTCTATATTGCGCCAGGAAAAAATATAGGCGTCAAACAGACCGATCAGTTATACTCCGCACACTTAGGTACCATAAAGGACAACATACAATCAACGATGGATGCAAAGACTTGTATCTTATAGTTGTATTGCTCCATGAACATCATCAAATACCTTGCACCGGGCTGGACAATGCTATAGGTACCCAACATTTGTTCCCTGTGATAACGTACCGGTAACTGGGGCCGCCAGCAGACTACTGAGCGCCCCGGCAGCCTGTACCAGCGACCAGGCGCGGCTGAAGTTGCGGGCTCGCACGCGCTCGAATGTGTAGACCTTGATGGCGTACCGGTAGCCACCCAGCAGGAAGCCGTACAGCCAGGCGAAGAGCACGTAACCATGGTAGCCCTCAATGACGGCCAGCGCCATCAGACTGATGGCTGCCAACACAGAGCGCATAGGGTGAGGAGAGCAGAGAGCAGTGTGCTGGGTAGCGGAGGGATGGTTGACGCCCAGTCAAAGATGCTGAAGATATGCTAGAGGTCCACTCGTTCGATGATCACGAATATTTGAAGTAAGACCTATTTTTCTTCAAGACAAAGATATGAGAAAACGAAACCTCCTTGGATTTTGTACGTACCGATTACGTATCTGTTATCGTATCTGTTATCTGTTACGTATCTGCCACGCACCGTGTCTCGTAAAATGGTTTCGAAATATTTCTAGTTTAGTAAAAGACAGACATGTGCATGGATCCGAGAAAATGGATCTGGGATCTGATCCCACGGATCCTGATCTCGGATCCGACGGGATCATAGATCCAGCTGTATAATTTATCGAGAGATCCGTAGGGATCACAGATCCGAGTCTCATTTTTTTTTTTGCTTGAGATCCAGTGAAATCATAGATCCTCACTTATTTTTTGTCAACACATATATCCCAAAAAGCACTTGTTTCAACTCACAAACGTTCTGTTTTAGTGATTTTATGTGATCTCACGTCATTATCCATAGTTTTGTGTGGACGCCATTTAATTGCGTCCCAGAAAAGCTATTTCTGGCACCTAAAAGCTGACTCGCCCCAAAATTGGTCCTCAGCACCTATTTGGTGGATACCAGCACCAATCATGGAAAATGACCTTAATTAGCTGTTTCTGGCACCTATTCATCAGTACGCCTTACTCTTTTTTCTGAATCTGGCACCTAAATGCTGAGCGTAGCACCAATCTAGTAGAAAAATGAACTACTGGCTGGTAGAATCATGTTGTTCTGGTATAATGACCCCTGGAGTCTAGCCTAAAGGTTGCCAGTGCAGCTACACTCTAAGACAGCCCCGTAGTGATCTCAGCATTGTATATGACGTTTAAGTAAGCAAATAATATTGATTTGTTTGAAAAAGCAATGTCATTTAAATATTTTAAAGTATTTATTTGTAATGCTTAAAGGGAAACATTTTTGTGAGTCATTGTCCCAATTTTGACCATTAAAACGGGTATTGTATTTTTTGACGTCATTAAATAGCTCCAAAAAAGAAATGTAATGTTTTCATTCCGTTCAAGGCCGCTGAAGAAACCGGGATCTTGCGTGGGACATTGTCCGTTGTTCGCCGCGCAGAGTTGTGCCGTGGTTGTGCCTTTTTCATCCGTTTCTTACTTATGTGCGCATGAAGCTTTGATTTTGTTTTTGGTTATTGTGTGGCCGGTCAGTCAAACGCCCCTGTAGAAACCGGATGCTGCGTTTGATCGAGATGGAGTCAGACGATGATTGCAGAAAGCTAATAATATTGAAAAGAGGGCCGGTTGCGTGGCATGTCTGTTCAGAGTTGACATTTTGCTTTACTCCAGTTTATGACCAGAGAGCCTGGCTGGAAGTGACGGATCCAAACTTTTCACGTCAAAATGGCTGAGGGTGCAGTAATCTCTACATAGCGGGCTGGTATAGGAGCGTCTTGCTATGCTGCACCATAGCTGGCTAGTGATTCTCTTTTGGCTAGAAATGGCATTAATCATTATCTCCACTGGCGAAAATGGCACTTGACATCACCGAATGCAACGTTCATGTTTGTTAGGATACATAAAATCAGGAAGATTACGCGAATTAGGTAGGCAAACGTGGAATAAAATAGGTGCTGGATGTTTTGGTTTTGGTGCTGAATCAGCAAACAGCAAATACGGAGTTCAACTAGACGATCTGGCAACTTTAGGCTGTGTGGAAGCAATTAGGTGCCAGATTCAGATATTAGGGTCGAATAAGCATTTTGGGGCTGATCAGCAATTAGGTGCCAGAAACAGCTTTTTAGGGACCAGAAACAAATATTCCCCGTTTTGTGTCACTTATTGGCATAGAAACACTTTAAAACATGATTTCAAATGTGGTGCATGGTGGGATCCACTCAGATCATAGATCCATGTTCTTAATTTATCGTCAGATCATATGAGATCATAGATCCAAGATGTATTTTTCACGCCGGATCCGGTGGGATCATAGATCCCAACTTGTATTTTGCTTCGAGATCCACTGAGATCATAGATCAATCACTCGGATCCATGCACATGTCTGGTAAAAGAGGACAAAATTTGGCTTCAATAGATGTACGAATCCCATCGGTTACAAGGTAAGCATTGTGTTCACAATGATAGCATAATCACTCGGATGAAACCAGCATGCGGCATCATTTGCAATTCATAACAGAAGATTGATTTATCACTCTACGTCTTCATAAAAAGAACACAACCTGATGTGTTCCGTTCTTCTTCAGTCAAAACTCGTTTACCTCTAATGAACATCATCAATAGATATACAAATTATTTGACAGAAAAAGGAGCAGTCCGTGCTCTTTTCATCACTCAAACGTCTACCTTTCGACATCAGCGAGACAAGAAAAAGTTCACACAAATAGCAGCGGTTTACAAATACCACGCTTGATTACCGCTGGAACCATTAAAATGTAATCATTGACAAATGCCTAGCTTGCAAAAAGCCAGCCAAAAACGGGGAACAAAAAATAAGCTAGCAGCAAAACAAAGGCACCACGCAGAGTGACAAATGTGCCTTGTCCCCGTCAAACAAAGGCAAAAATAGATCGGGAGTTGTTTGATGATCGGGAGTTCGGGAGACCGCATGAATGAAAGCATAATTCATTGTGTGAATTATCAAATGATTACACTGAGACAAATGGAAACCAGTAAAAATTTGTGGTAGGTAGGTACGGCTACATCATAATTACAAATACCCCGTGTCCAATTTTCCATCAACTAACTAGGTAGTTGAAAAAACCAAACCGATAATTCGAAAAGACCTCAACGGATAGATGGTAAGGCATGCATAGGAAAATTATTGATAAAAAAAAAATATTGCAACCGTAATTGTAAGCGTTAATAAAGCCTACTGACATTTCCTCTTCTTTATCCTCATCTGACTATTGGACAGGTTCAACCTTTGAACCTTCGAAACAATTTCTAGCCATGTCTCGGCCGCCACCAGTTCATGTCTTTTCGTCAAATGTTTGTTTCTCGGCCACTCGGTCACATTCATCGATGCCCAATCTTTCCGATCGTTAGTATTACCTCATGGCATACCAATTATAGTGACCAATTAAGACGAATGTATAAATTCCAACGTGCCGATAACACAGGCGAGATCAGGGTCAGCTCTGTAAGCAGGAAGTATCCAGGCGGCATGCGATCGAATTATTCAAATTCCAGCCACTCATGTCATACGAGAAAATAATATTTCCATGTGCCAATTATCTACGTGTTTTGAGGCCTGCCCGAAACGAAACGATATTGGACAGCTCAGCTCGGACGGTCAATAAATCATAGAACGTCAAGCTTTGGAAATTTAGCGAGCTCGCGACATCAGGAATAGCAGGTGCACTGTAAGGTAAGAACGACATTCATGTGGTATTCGTCCGTGCTGAACTCATGCATAACTCCATGGATGGCTTACGAGTATTCATACAATTGAGCCAATGCAGACCATCACAGTATAATGGCATACAATAAACATGGTATTAGATATACCAGAACATTTGGATACATTACGCTATACCTACTACCTCTATTCAGTGTCACATAAAACCCGTATAACTATTCACCATCTATGCAAACGGGTCCACCCCAACACGAATTCCTCCTCACTCATAAATAAACCAGCCGGCGCAGATCTGCCCACCCCAGCTGTGACACGGGTGGGTCAGATACGAGTTACCTCAGCCTGCATAAAGCGCACTGTACCGGTCACTCACCAATGCCGAGCAGTGTGGCTTGACAGAGGTACTGTCGGGAGATCCAGCACTGGGAGGAGGGCCGCACCACAATCACGCCGCAGCCCAGACAGCCGAGCGCCAGCGCCAGACCCAGGAATGTCTGCAGGAGGCCCAGAGAGCCGTCGTCCAGACCCTCCTCCTCACACTGCACCATCTGAGGGGAAACGGGGAGGTGCAGATTCGTCAAGTCAAGCGTCGGCAAATGAATAATATTTCGCTGTATTGTCAGTCGCGATGTAAGGGAATCAAGATTCAGTTTTTTTTAGTTATTGACATTCACTATTCACCCGTTATGTGATTCGACTTGATTGATCCATGAATGCAAACTATATTCATTCATGAATCCATGAATAAGTCATGGATGATGACAAACAATCACGTCAGTGCAACATGACTAGCAGCATTCGTTTGAGCAACTGCCTCTAATGAGACACATCCTTTGCCAATATTACTGTGTAAAATGTTTAAAAAAGTATGTAGCATCGAAAGCAGTCGATCGGTTAAAAAAAAAACTGGGTACTGCGGTGCAGTCCGCATTCAGGCGTGCGCATTGTGGGACAGATTTTGCCGGACAAAACGTACGAATGTACTGTGGCGGCTCTGATCAGTGCAGAAATGCGGCCAAAACACCCATACAGCTTACGGGCTGTCTGCGGAAAACTTTCCTAATCTCCGAAAGGAGCACCCGTGACGGCTCGCTTGTTAGAGCGACGTTTCACAAATCACCAACACATCGCCACATCATAAATCCAATGAATGTGAGCCATCAGCGTGATTGTACGTCTTCACACGAGGCGTCTCCGAGCTAACTTATGCACATCTGTCAGCCATCATGGCCACGCGGAGCCGATCGGGCGGGAAACGACATCATTGGCAGCAGAACTTCAAATCAACGACCACATCTGCTAAACGGTCAGCAGTCCCGGCGGGATTTTAGCACCAGCTATCAATGAAGATATTCAACATCGGTCGCAGCCGGCGCAGATTAACCTCGGGGCTGGCGGGGCAGATAGTCTCGGCGCCGCGCCCATAAAGTCGCCCCCGAAGTTCGCGCCGGCCCGCTCGACTTCCGAGTTGAGTATAAAGCGTCTCCTGACGCCCGAGCCAATCGGTGGTATATTGTCATATATTGCCATATATTCACCGGAACGGACACGACTTTATTTCCTAACGCTCTCACAAGTGTCATTCGGAGGATGAAATGCGACCCTTGGTGCAAAATCGGGCCTCAGAATTCGTGTCGTCAGTTTCGGAAGAACATAAACCTTCCGTCTCAGCGTAGCAGGTCAATGCACTATGTCAGACATGCATAGCCGGAACTGCATCAGCACACAACCATAATCCTGCATGCAAAAACAAACGTCCGTCGATCTGATATAAAAGTCGAGCATAGCCATAGTTTATTTTTTGGTGGTGTCTTAGCGTAATATAACAATTCAACTTATCCATCGCATGTACTTATTCACTTTCATATGACGTAAGTGCCACTTGGCGCGCCCTCGGAACTACAACGATTGACAATTTATCTAAGTTAATCAAATTTTCAGAATACTGAGTGTCGGAAGATTTATGAAAACGCCGTTCTTAGACTTGCACAGTACATAACCCAGACCTGCTGCTAAGCGTTGTTCGCCCATTCTGCAATATCACTGTGTGCCTTTACTAGAGAAAAGCGGTGCAAGGCAGATTGCTCCAGCCTATATGCACTTCGCAAACGATGAGTGACGCTGCGCTTGCACGTCACAACAGCTGAGGTAGGTTCACATGTGTGGGAAGCACCGTGCAAGGTGAAAGCGGTGGGAAGAAGTTTGCGGTCGGTCCTGTCACCGTTGACGAATAAGCGACTGCGCTTTTTGTGGATGACTGGTTAGTGTCATAAAGATAATGGCAGTATCATATCCGGAGAATGTTCTACTGTGAAATTACCTTGCCCGCTAGCTGTATAGCGGCAACATCAAGGCATGCCACCACAGAATCATGTATGGCAGCCGATAGGGCTATGCCAAAAGTTTATAATCAGACGGCAAACACCACTATTTTTACATTTTTGTTTCACAATTTTCTAGCGTTGAACTAATTAAAAGTTATGCAGTATTGCTCCGTCATAATTATCGATCCAGTATTACGTACCATCATGGTGAGAGTTCAAAATTGGTTTTCAAAAAGGCATCCTTGTCGGATGTGGACAATGTGCCTAACTGTCTAGCATTGCTTATGCTAAAGATCTGCTACTCATTCTGGGTCAGCCATGCAAAAACGTTGCGGATGTTTACAATTTCCGATGGTTACATGATTGCGCTATGAAACGTCCATCTCGGAGCCCATGACAAAACCGTCTCCGCTCGCCCACTTCGTGTTCTCAAGCAGAATCTTTCGTCTCGCTCCGGACATTTGGCTAAAAACTGCATCCAATACGTCCTCTCTCGCTGCCAGTTGGGTTCAGCTACAGCCTCTGAGTCGCTCTCTAATGAAGATAAACGGGGAAAGAGCCTGGACATGTTGGATATTTTATGAAGCTGGAGAAGCCACACTTGTCTCTTTATCCATTAATGTGTGCTCTCTAGACGAGTTTGCATTTTTGTTTAAATTGATGGCCCCAGACTCAGCTGAATAAGCTATCTCTTTGTATAAGGTGAGGGTGGCGGGGATAAACTCGCGGATAGGTAAAACATTATTTTTGGAATAAGAAATAACAGTGTCATATTTGAATAGATTCAAAAAATAACAATGCGCACATGTATTCAGTCGATTTTAATGACGCTGACAGAGTTATAGGACATTAAATCAGTTGCTTTGAAGCTTAGGCATAACCTTGGAAGCGAGTGACGTGAATGATTCCGGGGCAGACAAAATTCTGCGATCGGACTCCATGCCAAAAGTGACTTGCCACGCAGTCGAACATTTAACGCGTAAGCATCAAGTTTCCAGACGTTACCCACCACATATTTAGAAATGAGATTGGTCAATGGTCAGCTATATCACAACATTCAGGGACATCTGATGCGGCGATGAAAAGTTTCTAAAAACTAACATATTTATAAAAGCAAAGGAGTTAAATGCATCACTACATAAATTGCGATTTTGCATTCTATTAAAGCATGAACTTCATCAATGCACTTAAAAGGCAAGAAGCTAGTTAGGCTCTTAATTTGATTTTAAAGCAACGAGTAATGACAACTCCAATTGCCACGACGGTCTGTTCATCGCGACCTTAACCCACGAGCCGCTGGGGGGGGCATAAAGTTGCCCCCCCTTTACGTTTTGTGGAATATCTCCGAAACGCGATGAGCTACGAACGTGAAACTTGGCATAGCTTCAAATGAATACCTAGGCAATGTTTGAAGAAATTTTGGTGGTTGTAGCACCTAAGATGACGTCACAGTGACGTCATAAAGTTTTGTCGTTTTCCGATATGGACCGTTTCTGATGACGCTGAGCATGAAACTCAACTGTAAATGAACTAGACAGCATCTGCTGTCATCCTAAAACATCTAAGTACACTTCCATCTAGTTCCTAACCAATAATCGGCCCTTTATATTCGGTCCCATATATCTGATGTATCGTGAGGAAACTGAGAGTCGCAAATCTATAATTTGACTTATGACGTCACTGTGACGTCATTTCAAATGGGATCGACACCAAATTCGGACACAACCTCCGCTAGGTATTCAGGAAGATGTGTGCAAAGTTTCGCTTCTCTATCCCTTCGCGTTGCGACGATATCGTCGCGGAAGTAAAGGGGGGGCAACTATATGCCCCCCCCCCAGCGGCCGGCGGGTGGCGCGGAGGCCCAGCGGCCGCCGGGTTAAGAACAGTGTGTGCCGTTGAAGTACTGATGCATTGATCGATGGAAGCATCAACAAACAATCTATCACAAGCCCATTGAACAATGCCCCGTTTTTCAACGACCATCTCAGGAGGGTTGCCACAACAAAAGTCCATTCTCCGGTATCGGTCAGACTCTTTGCGACCAGGCCCCCCAAGAGCATTGGCTGCGTACCAATCGCCCAATAACCGACTTCTGAGTGGGCCAATATAATTCGGCAGCATTGTCAGACCGGTTAATGGCCTGATAAGCCGGCTAACTCCGTCCCAAAGACTGTTAGCAGTCCATGACAATCCTTGATACGGCTCGATCTCAGGGGAACAACAAAGGGTTTGAAATAAATTGACCAGACGAAATGTATTTCAGAAGTTACAGCCTGCATTTCGATTGAGGTGGCTTCGTTTTGCACTAGAAAAGTAGAAGAAAGCGTTTTGAAATAGAACGTTCAATGGACCATCTTAGTGATTCGCGAATTCGCCTAAATCATGCGTTGTTGGACCTCATTCAACGCACATCAAGCTGTTTTTCCGCAAAATGGACCAAAGCAGCAAGTTTTGCACACATGTCTCGCTGGTGAATTGCAGCAGCGTACCCTGTACTCTAACAACTGAGTGATATGCGGAAGGATTTCAACTTGGTGGTTAGCCTGCAGCTGAGTCTGCCGCAGGGCGTCGGGCTGGCAGCGGCAGGCGACACCGCGTGACAAACTGTGACGCCCTCGCGACACTAACTCGGCAGAGCGCGACAAGTTAGGGCCCAGAACTGGGGAGCCGGCCAGCGGTCAGATGGGCGACGGTGAAGTCAGTGTGTGGTGACAGGGCTCGGTTCACTGGGTGGGCGCGGTGTGTTAGAATGCTTTCTGGAATTCTAAATTATCAGTCAGAGCTCTAGACTAATTGGTGCAGCTCCGGGCCTGGCGTTTTTATCACATAGACAAGTGTAGTGTTTAGCGTGGTGCGGGAGGCATGAGGATGAATATAATTGTTATCAGTGAGAATAATTTTACTTACGAGCTGATGTCTTATTCCTAGAACTGTAACATAAGTTTCTAATAGCTGTGACTGATTGGTCGTGGCCACAAAATCCCCAGATAATGTCCCATAAATATTTTGCCACTCTACGTCTTTTTCGGGTGACTTTATTTACAGTCACATGCTTCATATTTATCTGGTTACATTAATCATAACTGTCTGCGAGCAAGTGAAATCAAAATCCTGGAGCAGATGTAGAAACGAGTGATACTTCTAGAGAAAAATATGGCAGTAATTTATACTGATGCTTTTTACATGTCAGCAGGGTCAGTCAAACTGATGCTTCAATAACGCGGAGTGACCAAAAGATATACTTCAGCCATTGTTCCGCTAACGGGGACGGTACAAAGAAGGCACTGCGACGCGACAACAGCATATATGCAAGGAAATGTCACCAAAGTGCCTCATATTTCCCATCCTAAGAATAGCAGCCGCTATTATGAACTACCTACTTCATGAATATGCAACGGCACTAATCCGCCCCGTGAAGCGCATATTAGCCCGGTGGTGTTGGACGCCACTTACCAGCAGTATCACGGGTGTGTAGAGGCCCAAGCCGCTGAACATGGACGAGACAACCAGCACCTGGACCGTGCGCGCCTTCAGAACGCTCCAGTCCAGGTAGGGAGGCTTCTCCTCCGGCTTCGGGTTCTTCAACTGGAAGAGAAGAAAGCATCAATGAGCCACGATGGGGAGGAAAGGGCAACTTTACAGTAATCCGCGGGCCATGGAATTGCTGTGAGATTAAAAGAGAGTCCCGATTGAACGCTAAACAAATGCAAAGTTGAAGCGCAATCCATGACCCACTGAAAGACATTAACCGTTCCATTCACTTTAAGGGCTCACTAAGAAATGGTATCATTCGTTAGCCACAGCTCAGGTCCCCGAATAGCTCCCAGGCCAATGAGAATCGGCCGGCTGTTAACGAGAGAAACGACCAATATACTCAGCGGGCCGCTCGTAAAACTGTCCAGACCGGAACCTTCCGCCGTGACTCAACGGGGCAAAAAGTCGACTCATTACCCCTATCTCGGCGCACGTGATTGATATAAGAGAGACCGGCCGGCCGGCGATCCCACCAGCACACGCACACACACATACCTTGAACTCCTTTTTCTCCTTGACTTTTCGTTTCTGGTTTTTCAGGTGAAGAATGGCCCGCCGCTGTGGGTGGTAGAGAGACGCCGACCGGTAGAAGATGCCGATGATGAAGGTACTGAAGACTATCCCGGTGACCGCCTGAAGACCCAGTCGCCAGCCCACCCGACTAGCAACGGGAGGAGAAACACAGTGGGTTAGATGGCGACTTGCTTGTCCGGATTTTGTTGGCTAATAGTTAATAAATGCGTTGCACTGTTTGAAACAGAAAATTGATATGATCAATTGAGCAACTACCATACCTGCAATGAATCAAACGGACGTCACTCATGCAAGACCCAGAAAAATGAAATTGCATCTTCTGAGGAAGAAAAGCAGAGCAGTACATATGGTTCAAAATCCTTACCCAGATAATACGTTGAATAGAATACACAAATCCTTGCACCAATAGCGATACTTGCTAAAAAGTATCGGGTTACACCGGCATGCAGCGCCACCAGTCACCTACCCGACACTGTAGCGCAGAATTGTTGAGACCAGCGTCAGTCCTATGCCGGCTCCGGACTGGACGATGATTTCGACAAACTCCCGGCGCCGTTTGAAGTACTGACCGGTCATCAGGTCAGAGGTCTCCCGGGTCAGGCCGATCCCAATCCCCAGGACCAGACCGTAACTGAAACATGGATGTGACTGTTAGAGCTGTGGTGATGATGACAAGGGTGTATGGTCACAAAAAATATTGCGTTTAACTCTTCATCGCCAGCTGCATGAACTTCATTGAAATATCTTCCGGATATTTGTCCATGTCCCTGTTCATTCTAATTATACTTTATTTTAATTCGTTGTTTTTTTTTATATTAGTTCGGCAATCAATCACGAAGTTATGTGGTCTATTATTAACCGATTATGCTTTCAATTGGTTTCCAAAATTTTCTGCTGTAAATATTTTGTCATTAAGCTACATCATTCCATCAATCTTTTCAGCATGTGGCGTTTGTTCACAATTTTCTAGCAGAGGCCTGCAATAGACATGTACCTAACGTAGTAATGACATGAAATATTACATTGACGGTTAATGCCATACATGATGAAGTAATGATAATTGCTGGTCTCTGGCATTGATGTTTATAGATGAAAATGTCTTACAAGCCTACTTAATCGTCCAACGCGCCCATGTATTCAGAAACCACCGGGCCTGATGTCATGTAATGCACGCTCAGAACATGCCAGAAGGCAGCTCTTTCATAATTACAACGGTGCAACACAGCATAATTCAAGCAGAAAACGGCTCTAATTCTTGTTTATTGACAGACAGCTAGCACTTGATTTGTTTTGCAATTATCTACACTATTCAGCCCCACCTACGTCGGTCTAAGCATGGATGGAAAACTCCGTATACCACCAACAGCACGCCTCTCCCGGGTACCCAGTGATCACAAACATCAGCTGATGAGAGCTGGTCTGCCATCGTCTATCAAACCAGATCGAAAGTAAACACTCGGGGGAGGGTAGAGACTGACCTGAGGAACACTTGGTGCAGCTGCTGAGCGAATGAGGCGAACAGACAGGCCAGTGCGGCCACCAGTCCTCCCAGCACGGCGGTCAGACGGGTCGATTTGCGTCGGCACAAACCGACAACCAGAGGGGTCACCAGCAGACTGACGCATATGTTCAGACTGCCCAGCCACACTGAAATATAGAGAGAACGACGGGTCAACGCTTACATACTTCAGAGCTGTTCATTGAGGTGGGGTATGTCGGGCCAGATATAATAACATCATAGCCCCAGCCATCACTCTCAGGTCGAAAAGAAAGGTCAGTTCACTTAAAAATAATAAGGTAACGCGTTGACTCATATATGTATCCGGAATTCGACTTTGTTCTGAATTCGTAGGTACTGCTTATTCTGAAATATCACCACATACCATCATGATAATTCGAGAGCACCAACTCTGATAACGCACTGCGGGCTGAAGAGGACACCGTCCACAACTACATCAGGGAGCCGTCACGGCCAGGCCGGCAGACGGCGGCGTTTTCGGCCCGTTTGGAACAGGGGGCGTGACCTTGGCTCGGCCACATATCTTGACGGATGCCTCGTAATTGCAGAATTATGCGCGATCCAGGGCATCGGCGCCGGCGGTCAATGGTCCGCGCGACGGACGGACGGCATCAGATGCGCTCGATACGACGCCGCCGGCATTATTCAAAATAAAGTGGAAACGCCGAGCGCTTTCGTCAAACAACGCTGCAGAGAGCGAATTTTGGGACTGAAACGTAGCTCAGGCGGATGGTTAAATCGTTTGGAATCGGTCCCCGAGGAGTGCCATGCGCGCATGACGGCATTAACTGCCCTGTCCACCAAGAAAGCGATTCGGTACTTTGTGGCTATGAAATGATGTAAAATGAGGAATAAAAATGTCGATATTGAAAGCGCAGACATAATAACCGTGTTTTAGGAAATTAGCAATTGGGTTACAGGCATAAACAATGTCCTATAATATGGTTTATTTGTAGCCTTTGCTTCAGATCTTTCGTCCATTTCGCAGAACTGGAACTAAATCAGGCAAAAATATCATAAATGGCATCATTATACAACATATTGCTTCATATTTTTGTCACTAACATTTATTTGACCTCATCTTAATAGTTCTACGATTCCAAATGGTGCAAACACGTCCCCATTTTAAAATCAAAAGGCAATGCAGCTCAGAACCAAAACGTTTAGCGAGGGTCTTAGCTACTTTGTGCTAGTAAGCCTGATGATAACTTAGGGAAATGCATTCGTTATCAGAACAACTTTTGTATAGTCCCCATCTGCGTTACTGAAACAGTCGCAAAGTTGGAGGCTGATTGCATTAATGAGATAGATGAGATGTGCAACTTTCCGTAAAGGAGTTACACTGATAGAATGTTGGGGCTGATAGAATGGGGCTGATACACTATAGTGACAACTGACAAGAGTATTCATGACACACCGAAAGTGACGGAAACCTTTGGGCCACATACATTTATCATGTGTATTTCTTCAGGAGATGATTGATTTAATGCAACAGATGTCGCTCACCATTAATCATGCTTGTCATCGGGTTTTACAATGTCCATTGTTCTTACGCAGGGGCGTCGCCACGGATTTTTGAGTGGGGGGGTCGGGTTTCTAGTCTTCACCCGATGGGTAGGGGTGTTTTTTTTTGCCGCACTTCCCAGTTTTGTGCGTGCGTATGTGTGTGTGTGCGTGTGTAACAAATCGGCGCGCAGCGCCGCCAAATTTGGTATAACCTATTAGGTAGGTATACCTACCTACATCACTTGCGTAAAAATTATCACTGGTCACTTAAGGTCAGGTCGCCATGTCAAGTTCAGTTATACGGTATACCTCTATAAAAACTTTCCCCTCTCGCCATTCTTGTAGCTTTTCTCCCATAACTTCGAAATTTGGTACACTGTATAGGTACCTAATGTATGGGGTTATACGTGTCAGCAATTCATGATTCTAACTGAGGATTTACATCTATGATCTGAAGGCAGGTCAAATACGTGACCTCATCATTAGAAAATAATGAGAAATTAGAAAAAGCACGAATGCCTCCTGCTTTGAAAAAGTTCGTCAGAAACGCAAAATATCTTTGGAGCCATGACAAATCAGCTCATCATTGCCAGGGACAGGGTGCAACTTATGGCGAGTGATGACTCGAAAGGTCATTAGTGGAAATGTCTATCGATGGCCACCAGCATTTTTTTTCTACAACTTTTGACGAAGACGCGGTAGAGCGATGACAGCACCTGGAAGGTGTTCACTGTTCAGCTCAACAACACGGATCCATTCATATGCAGCAGGAGGTCCTTTTTCGATCAGGACATAACGTTGACCTGAGGTCGTTTTAACGTTAATTCTGAATGGTCAAATTTTAACTCATGTGACGCGTCTCAAAGAGATCAAGACGGTGGTGACAAGACAACATATGTACAGTATGTCTAAAAAGAATGTACCGTCGCCACTACGTGGCGCTGGTGTCGCGAGCCGGTAGTTGGCTGAATCCGCACCAGACCACACATTCCCAAGCGCTAGGTGACAGCTGCGCAGCGGCCGGTAGTAGCGTAAGCCCGAACCTTCGTGACACGACCCCGGGGGGGGGGGGGGAGGGAGAGAGGGAGGGGAGCGGGCGGGGCAGGGCGTGCAGGGAGGGGTGCTCCGGCAAGCTGGCAGTTGTCGCGGCCAAAGGTCAAGGGGTCACACACCAAGCGAACGGATGCTGATGTGGGTTCGTGGGGATCGTGAACTTGTGTGTGGTAGGTGCGTCTTGCGATGCACGGGTGATACGCCATGGGTCTAAGCCAAATGATTCGGGGGAGAGCTGAAGAAAAATACCTGGTCAACTACGGCGAATAATGGTGCTGAAAAATGGAAAGTATGGGTCAATGCAAGCCTTCATGACTATAAACTTTTCTGAGGGCGCAAAGGCCAGCATTGAATAACGACATCCGGATCGAAATTAGCAATGATTTATAATTACATGCCGAAGTAATAGCGTTGCAAAACCCACCTAGTAAATTGTCAAGTCGGATTCATACCGACTTGAATTAAACTATCCTAAATTAAATTGTATATAAGATCTCTATGCTTTGACCAGCTTCGTGACCTGACGGGCTGTGACCTGACCTTGACCCGAGGTTAACACCTTAACTTGATCTCACCCGAAGAAAAAGTATACCATTTGACACGCCTGAGCTAGACAAACACGATGCTGCTAAAATCGCGGATCTGCGATCATGTTTAGCGAAGTTATTTACCAAAAACCGAACCTCTGCCTTGGGCCACTTGACCTAACCTCAGAAGTCATCGGCTGATCCTGGTCCTTAAAATCGGAGACCAATCGCTGCATTTCGTAACAACGCGCACGATCGTTTCTTTCGTGAGGCTCTAGCTCATTAAGGGGCGAATCGGCAAAGGGGGTTGTTCCCTCACTTCCAACCCCCCAACGCCCCCTCGGTATTCAGAAAACCTGAAGGTCCGGTGAGGGTTAAAACGTTGCTCCTGAACGAGGAAGAAATGTAAAAGTCAAAGCTCTATAGACGTCCTCTAAAAGTGGTCATAATAAATAAATTGGTTAGAGATAAGATACTTTTTAAACGAGTTCCTCATATAAAATCGGGTGCTGGGACCAATCTTATAAACGCTTTAGAATGGACAGGGCGTCACTGGCTAAAGTTTGGGTGCAGGAAACGGCTATTAAATGCAAAATGGTTTTCATGCATTTCAGTCAATTGTATATTGACGGTCACAGTGGCCGAGCTGAAAAAGTTTGGTAGTGTTTTGCATCTTTTACGCCCTAAGAAACTACACCATCTATTGAAGTGGGCGGGCTTATTTGAATGGGAGGGCGCATTATGCGTCAATCGTGTGCTTTCGTTTGTTTTGGACTGTATTTTACGACATCCACTGCTGGTATCACTATAAATATTATTTAATGCCGTGAATACGACAGCATTCCATTTATAAGATTGGGCCAATGGAGTCGCGCCCCGCGAGCTCGGTTTTCCGCTGGGCCGCTATACGGGCCGAGGAAGTCGGTCTTCGCCTGAGGGCAGGACGGAGGTCAGCGGGGGAGCGCGGGGTCAGCCAGGTATCGCCCAGTGCCGAGCGGATGCCGCTCCCTCCCCTCTCTTCCCCTCTTCTCCCCTCCCACCTCTGTATAGATGGGGAGGGACCGAACTGCCAATGACATGCGAGCGGTCAAGGCCGCTCGCGCGGCAGCGACCCTGGCGGCCGGGTGCCGCAACTGGGATTCAGCCAAGTTACCGATTCGCCTCCTGTGGGAGAGCCAAACCAGAGGACATACTTTTTAGACATACTGTACATACCATACAAATTCACGGAATCGAAAGTTATTGCAAAGCAGATGTTTCGGCAGAATCTGTCCAGTTAGCTGTTTGCCTTCTTATGGGCCAAACATAGACCTGAGATGAAATCTAACGCGAAGCTAGCGAAAAAGCGTTAAAAGAGCTATCGAATAGTTTTCTGCTTCACTGTAGCCCTTCTATTGGTGGTTTCCCAGTCGCTAACGTATAACGTATACTAAACTAACGCTGAGGCATGCTTTCGACCCCTGATCGATCTACAGGTTTGCGGAAAAAAGAGCATGCTGCCCGTGACGAGAGAAAGCCGATGATATCCATTTACAAGTTTTCGGGTCATCTCAGGACTCAGGTCATCGCCAATAAGTAGAGAAACTCGGGACCTGCTAGAACTTAACGAATGTAAGTTGTGATGGTTTTTCGAGGTTCTGATTACGAATGTTATCTTAGTTTTGAACGAAGATGATGACTCCATGCATTTGGGGTAGATCAGGTCAGGTCAGATCGACCAGTACCTAATAGTGGATGACCACCACCGATTGCTTCCTAGCATGTTATATGAATAAGCAACACAACTACTTCTTAAATGTTCAGATGGGCGCTAGCCGCTAAGTTCAAAATCAGCTCCAAAAACTACCCTATCAATTAAAAGCACGTTATGAAAAAGTGAACTAAGGTCATCTTTATTTGAATCAGGGATATCGATTTATTTTAAGTAGGTGATTAACTCGAGCGCACCGGAAGTTTTGTTACAATCGGCTCCTTTTTGCGCGACTTCTTTGCGAAAGCCCGAGACGGTTCCATCTGACTCCCTTTCCCCTACATGTGCACTG